GTTACGAAGCTTGTATACATTGACATTGTCAAACGCTTTCTCAACGTCTAACAATGCCATGGCTGTGGACTTGGATAAAGCCTTGTTACTTCGGATGTTATTCATCACCCGTACTAGCTGATGATTTGTGGAGTGCTCCTTCCTTAACCTCCTTCCGGTAGGAGAATGTTGTGCTTCTCGACAAACTTGAGCAAACGATTGAGAATAAGTTTCTCGAACAATTTGCTCAGCGTTGAAAGGAGGCTGATCGGTCTGTAGCTTGAAGCTAGCGTTGGGTCCTTCCCGGATTTGCGGATAAGTATGATTTTCTCTGTCTTCCAGATACTTGGAACGTAGTGCATCTGTTGAAGACAGCAGCAGCCAGCAGAGAGTTAACCTTCATGCTGAGCTTGTTCAACACAAGGTTGAATATTCCGTCAAACCCGGGGGCCTTCATGTTTTTGGTGCGCTGAGCAAATCTGTTCCACTGTGATTGTATCCTCCGGAGGGATAGCACAAGGGGAGGAATTAAGGTTGAGTACGCATTGCTCAACCTGAACTTCGACCGGACTTTGGATGTTGGAGCCAAGCAAGTGCGATTTGGCAATATGCTCACCAATCGCATTTGCTTTCAACTGAGGGGTGATTATGAGCCGATCGTCATCATTTTCATCTTTGAGTGGAGGAATGGGTTTGGGGTGCGTCTTTAGGACCTTGGCAACCTTCCAGAATGATCTGGAGCGGTCGTCCAGATTCTGGATGAGCCGCCCGAAACTTTCGTTCCTGAGTGGACCATTGTGGAAGCAATCTCCTTGTTCAGATCGGCCATTTCACGTTTCCACGCTAGATCTCCGGTTCTTTGGAACTGGCGTCTACGAACATTTCTCAGACGAATCAAGAGTTGGGTGTGGGAATCAATGGCAATAAACTTACCCCTCACCACGGTTATGGCTTGGTGGAGTCCCTTCAACGCTCGGTCGATGTCCTCCACGGTGTCAAGCGGCGGGTTGTAGATGATGTGCCTGTCTACCACGCGTCCAAACTGAGCCCAGCTTACGCGGTGGTAGTCCTTATGCAGACTTGGAGCAGGGGCCACGTTGTAGCCCAATTCAGCCACCACCGGTTGGTGGTCGGAGCTGAGTTCTTTCAAGGCTACCGGCTTGTACCAGCCGGTATTTGTCAGGAACAGGTCTAACGTTGATGGGTTGCCCGCCGGTGAGATAAATGTTGGCCCATGCTGTGAGTGGTCGAACAGTAGACGACCGTTCTGGTTCTGCATGTAGTTCCGCCAGACCTCATGGCGAGCATTTAAATCTCCTCCAACTACGAAGCGGGAACCGGCACGGGTGATGGTGGACAGGTCCTTCTTGAATTTAGCCGCTAGTCCACTGCTGGCGGCACACTGTCGAGGGCAGTAGACGGCGATAAACTGGACGTATCCAGTCGACGACTCCACCTCCACACCAAGAGACAGAGTGTGGTATTTTATTCCTTTCTTGACGGCGACCGCAACACTCCTCCCCCCCCTCCCCCCATCTCCCCTCCCCTGGAGCTGGTGCAATCAAGCCGAATAATGTTGTGGTCAGGCAACCAGAAGCTGTCACCGGACTTTAGATGGGTCTCGGTTAGAAGGCCCACGTCAATGCTGTGCTTGCGGAGGAAGTCGGCAAGCTCAATCTCTTTTGCTCAGAGCAAAGCATTCAAGCTGACGATACTTTGCAGTTTATACGCCATACTGGATGATGAACTTACCGAGCACTTGGATCTGTTCGGGCTTATTGCGGCACTTACGAAGAGCACCGGACATGTTTCCATGAGTTCATTCGCTGAGAACAGATCGCGGTTGTTGTTTTGCTCTGTTGGTTGTCTCCCGAATCCAAGGGGGGGGGGGATGATTCAGAATCACCGGAAGCTTTTTGAGGGGGTCCTGAATGCTAGGGTTTTGTCCTTCTTGCGTCCTGGTTGATTGTTGCTTGACGCCTGCTTTCGGATGCGTTTGAAGTCCTCGCGTTTGGAGCACTGTCTGTCGGAACCTTGAGGTGCACCACCACAGTTGGCGCATTTTAACGCCACGGCTCCATCCGCAGGGCTGTCAGAAGTGGCGTGTTCGTGAGCGCAGTGGCTTGATGTTGCAGTTGCGGGTACCGTGTCCAAAATTGAGACACCTCTGGCACTGCGTTACGTCACGCTGGCCGACACGGTATGGCTCCCACCGTACGATGATGGAGTAGACCGAGCGGATGGCTTGCAGCGCATTAAGCGTCACCGTCCCTTTCTGGAAGTACACCAGGAAAAGGCAATCCGGGTACGTCTTCAAGTTTTCGTCTCTCCTCGTCATCCGAAAGACAGCGCTTGGGGCCAGCTTGTAACGGTCCTTGATTTCGGCTTCGATCATGTTGGAGTCGAAGTTTGGTAGACCCTTGATGACTACCTTGAAGGGATTCTCACCGGGGATATCATGCGTGAAGAATTCCGCCTTGGAATCCTTCAAATATGTTACGGCCACCTCGTACTCCGCTTTCTTATAGAGCATCACCTTGGTGCCGATCCTGCCGAGTTTTAATTCCGCTGTGATGCCCAGCGATTTTAAATCGCCAATGAGGGTGTTGAGTGGCACTTTCTTCACCACCAGTGGAGGAAGCTTTATTTTTGCCCCACTCGGGCCGGCAGAATTCTCATTGTCAACGGCGTCGCCGTAATCACCGATGACGATGAGAGTAGCGTACCTATTTGAGGCAGGTACCGAGCTACCCTCACCACTGTTCTTCTTCTCCGCTTGGTCACGAAGTCTGCTCCGGAAGCGCTGTCTTTCCATCACGCGATGCGACCCACACTACTGACGACGTGACGTGCAGTATATCTGCGAACGTTTGTAACAAACTATAGGTTTATCGAACAACTCGACAGAGCGAGCAAAGACCGAACTGTACTGCTTGACGTAAGCAGAGAATGGCTAAGTCTTTTTTTTCGAGTACAATCTTTATTTATGAATTTAGATTCACATCCGAATAGCATTCTCATCTAAAAAACATGCTTCCTAAGCCCCGCTCAATTGGTGAAAAGGCAGAATATTCTGTTAAAAGTAGGGCTTGGCATGCATTTTCATTATGAGTATGCTAAAAAGAAGGGACTTTGGATGTGAAACTAAATTTATCATTAAGGGTACCGAAAATTTTACCAGAACCAGGTACTCTATTCTGATGTCTGTGAGAGGGAAATCAAACATCGTGCGTCATCAAAATACGTGAAATTTTGAGAGGCTGAGAATTTTCTCTCTCAAATCGGAATGTTTTGCTTTCTAGGGCTTGGTAGTAAAGCGGGCTTAAAATGTATATATATATAGTGATTTTTATTATTTATTGCCAATTGTCCTTAATGATTTTGAAACAATGCGAATTAATTAGGATTACCTCAATACTATTTTAAATTTAGACAAATTTTGAATGATATTTTAAGATATATGATGGTTTGGGACCTGTGGAATTGCTTATTGAGACGATAAATAACAACATATGTGTCAAGACCAATGAAGCTAATGGTCTTCAAAGAATGTATTATATAAAATATTCTACATCCTCTTTCCCACTGTGCTCACTTAAAGACATCAACACAGGCAGCGTCTGCAGTTGTGAAACAAGTAAATGCGAACGAGAGCGGAGCATGGAGTAGCGCAAATGTTGTTTATATTGTGTATGCATTTTTCATTAGCTTGGATGGTAATGAAAAATAAACACCGAATGAGTAAGGGAGAACACTCCATAACGTACCCCTGGGGAAAAATAGCCCCGCGCGAATTTCCGTTGCTTTTTCATTACCAATTCTGGCAATTGTTAGTTCAAGTACGGAGCTAGCAGTGCTGCTCGTTAAATTCACGAATTGACAATCGGAAAGCATCCTAGCCTACGACCACCACCCACCATCGTTGCAACTCTCGCAACCGAAGACACCCGAATGTGTTCCGCTCAACAACTCAAGAATGCAAAGTCCTGCCGGCACGCACCATCCGATGCTCCATCCAGCTAATAATGACATAAAAATGCTTATTCGCGTTCCGGCATCTTCGCTTCTTACATTGCACATAGTAACTAGCTTTAAGATTAAACCTTAAACGATCTCGGGAGGACTGGAAACGACCAAGTGCGAGAAGGAAAAAAATGAACGGATTTGCTTGCCACCCCCATCTTGACGTTGCTGGTCTCATGATTGCGAATGGATTTCCGGCATCAGCGGTGTTACGAAGTTTAATCCTTGCAGAGGCAGCATCGTACTCCCACGCAACCGACTCGATTGGTCGTTTTTACATTGTCGGTGCTAGTATTAAAGCCATAATACGCAACTTGCCCTTTTTTTATCCGGAACCGGTCTTTTTCAAGCTGATTTACAGGGTGGATTGAGTTGAAGGCAGGCTACTGGCAGCCTCCGCCACGTCGCTCGTAGATTTTACGTCAAGTCCCGCTCGAGATGGGCTGATAAAAAGTTGCTTGTCTGAGCTAGGATGAAACAGACTTTAATTTGCTGCCGCCCTCGTTCTTGAGTTTTTACAGCCAACGATAAGGATGGGTGAAGTGCTTTTATAAGACTAAATTGTTTGGGAGAGTTTTTGCGATGTGCTAAGTGTGTGGTTGAAATTTTCAGTTTAAATATAACTTTCAAACGTATTCATGAAAAAGTTTCCTTATAAATCCTCATATCCCGGTGAACTAAATGCGAACTTTCCGTCTACACCTTCTTTCCAAAGACTTCCTAACTCGTTTGCGAATAGTAATCCATTCTGATTAAAGCTCTCTCCATACATCTGGCCCATTCTGCATCCAAAGCTCAACGATGAACTAGAACTTTCCTCCCATCGCCGATGATTTGTGAGCGCATTTAGAGCAACCATTCGTTTCGATTTTTTCCAGCTCGTTGCACCATTTGTGCGACCAAGCACCCACCACCCGACACTCCTCTTAAGTGCACTTTCCCGACGAACGTAGTTTTCAACAATCCTTCTTTTCTCTCGCTCTGATTCTTTTCCACAGCAACCAAACCGAAGATGCGTAGTCACTACCGGGGTCACAAGATGGCGCTCTGGTTGAACCTGATCCCGCAGCTGCATCGCCCCGGAGACCAGGACGTTTCGATGCGGCACCATCACTTCCGTGAGCGGGAGCCCCACTTCTACGCTGGTGAGTATTTACGTTAACGCTAGTCGATTGTGGTTGGAATGGGAAATACCCTACATAAAAAAGCGAAATACTTGTCAAGGCAGCCATTCAGTGTGAAGAAACGATTGCAACTCAATAGGACTGCCATTACGGGGATGGGAGTACGGGTATGGGAGAGTGAGATGAAAAAGGCGACAAGTATTTTCTGGGATCCGGACCTCCCATCAGGGGAGTTACAGATAGATGTTGGGAAATCTTAATTGATTTCCCATGCCTGATCGTGTCCAAGCGTTGATGATGAATCTGTAGAATTTTTGAAACTGTAAATTCTGGACACCCATACGGTTGGTTGGGGAATAATTTACACACCAAGCAGTATCATTCTGGCACGTCTGACGGTTGTGTTTCCCGTATGCTTGGTTGAATTTGGTTGCTGTGCGAAACCAGCATTTACTCAAACTTTTGTCAGCTAATGCATTGGCTGTTAACTGTGAAAATCTCAGCGCCGTTTATTGGTCCTTAAAAAGAAAATTATTCATGAAAGTAGTAGTAGTAGAGTAAAATTTTCCATAAAACTTGATTAAAGAAAATATTGAAGTTCATTGAGTTCTTATAATAAATTACACCCTAATCTAATATGCGACATCATGGAAAATTCTTCAGCCTCATTACGGTTGCTTTTTATAAAAAAGAGTCTTTTATACCAGATTTTTAAGCAATGATCATGCCGGTTTTAGGACTGTAGGTCAAAGGACAAAAGGTTCGATTAACAATAGACCTAAGGGACAACAGAGGTCGAAAGACCAAACGGTCAAATGCAATTTAAATAGACTAAAGGTCGAACGGACTAAAATGGTAAGTGGAAAAAAGGTCGTTGTATGTTCAGGTCGATCAAAAATCAAACATATAAACTGTCGGAAAGGTAATAAAGGGTGTCCACAGTTAAATTGCATCACTTAGAAGCACTCGCCAAAAATAAGTCTCTCAACAGATTGTCATGAAATTTTCCGCTTTCAGCCATGATTTCAACATTTTCTGCTCCATAGTGACAACTTTAAGATGCTTATGGGGTGTTTACACTTATGCTATTTCACTAGCGCTAATGAGCTAGCTGCTAGCAAAAAAGCTCACTAGCATAATGTAAACAGGGCATCAGCGTCTACCAGCAGAAGATTTCAGGAGCAAATAAAATTCGTGCTAGTTGCCGAATACACTAGTGCTAACAAATCCGCACAAATGTAAACACCCCATTACGGAGTTCATGTTTCATTATAGCCCCGTGTCTTTCGATCGACCGCAACTCCGGTGTGTTTGAGGGATTGATATCCTTCGGCACGAAATTAACCCCATTCGTCTTGTACCACTCCAGATCGTCCTTGAAGTAGTGACAAGAGGCTTGGTCCGGCCAACATGAGCATTGATTGACCGCCCACGGTTGCTACTCTGTTATTGCCAGACCAGCTGTAATTACACAGAGAACCAATAGACGATGCTTGGGACTAGCAATCATCCTCAATGTGTATAAACTGGTAATCTCGAATTAGGCAATACCAGCGCCAGCCGCGCCTGAACGCTGGTCAAGAAAGGAATGGGTAGGAATGTGTTGACGTGACACTCGCTTTGATGGAAGCCGAGGAGTCCTCTGCACTTCCACGAGGAATCACAGGGAGGGGTAAGAGGGTTGGGTTTGCAGCAGGGTTCGTTTTGGTAAACGATAAGCTGAATTGATGTCCTAACGATCGTATAACGCGAAGGAGCTTGGGATTAAACCCACGGTCTTCTGCTCAGTAAGCAAAAAACGTTTTCTACTAGGCAAACGAGCTCCTTTTTAATCATCGAGTTGCTGTTATTACCCTGTAGTCATATTAACAAATAAAACGATTGACGAATCTTGATATGGATGCGCTTGAGATTAGACTCAGGATGTTCTGCTCAGTAAGCAAAAACGGTTGCTCTAAGGCCACCGAGCCCCTCATATCACATCATACCGTTACTCTAGTTGTTATAACTATTCAAACCCGGCACCGACGACACCGAAAAGTTTTACAAAATACACGTTAAACAAGCGATCTTACCATACATTTTTAATATGAAAAGACCTGGGACCGTGTAAGCAAGCCACTGCAACCGACGATCTTTAAAATCCTAAAACTAAAAGCTACGAAAGAGTACTCAAGCCTTCATTTAGATCCACTTTCACGCGACGTTCAATGTTTTGATTTGATCTTTACGCATTGTTCAGGCAATCATAACAAGCTATGACCGACGTGACGATTGTTTAAAGTAATATGAATAATATGAGTATTATTGTACAAATTACAGTACATTGTAGAAGTTACCTCATTATTCTGCAGCGCCATTGTTTTTTTATTTCTGGATCTTGAGTTGTTTTGGTGATATACTTACTTGCAGCATACTATTTTGGGCACCCATATAGGCGTGTACTATGTAGGGTAGCTCATCTGCCACAAACGCTGAAAATATTATCGCAACCCCTCACACGATGATGATGACGACGGTGGCGACAAGATGGCATGAAGGAAAATGGTAGTGTTGAATAGTATTCGAGAGGTTGACTACCTCAAACTATTTATTCCTCTTTTGGCTATCCACCAAAGAACTGTAATTTGGAAGTAAAACTGATCTGTACAAAGCATTCCCTCACTAGTCATTCGTCTGTACATAGTTGTGTTAGCGATGTCTTCAATATTACACATAGCAATGATAGAAACGGTTAAGCCGCGTTAACATTATACAGTTCGGTTCAAAAGTATTGGTAATAAAAATTGCCTTACTCAACACCTCCCTCCAATTTTTATGTTTAAAGATTCGAACAATTTGTTATGTTGTATTTTTGACAATGGCTTTGTCAATGCATCTGCTGGTTGATCATTGCTTGGTTTGTAAATTATCTTTAAATGTCCTCTTTTAATAATATCCCTGATAAAAACAAACTTAATGTCTATGTGCTTCATCCGCTGGTGTTCTCGGGGTTCCTTTGAAAAGTTGATGCATGGGATGTTGTCTTCGTATATGACAATTGGTAAGTTATCTACTTCCAATTCTGTCAACAAGTTGGATAGCCACATTCCTTCCTTAGTTGCAGTACATAAAGCAACTAATTCTGCTTCAGTTGATGAAAGGCTCACAGTAGGTTGACGTTTCGTTGCCCACGAAACCATGTTGCCAAATACCTGGAAAACATATCCAGAAATCGATTTCCTATCTTCTACGTCATTTCCAAAATCAGCATCTGCATATCCTTGCAGTATTGGTCCTTCCAGATGTTTCTTATAAACAATCTTTGTGTCCATGGTTCCTTTAAGGTATCTCAAAATGCGCTTCAATCCGCTCCAATGGATATCTGTTGCACGTGATTGAAATTTACTTAAAATATTAACTGCTGCATTGATATCCGGTCTAGATGACAAAGCCAGATATTGTAAGCATCCAAGAAGTTCTTTATATGGATGTTTAGTAAGTGGATCTTCTGTAGTTTCCCATTTGTTATTGACATCCATGGGAGTTGCAATAGGTTTACTGTTATCCATACCAAATCTAGTCAGAATATTCTTAGTGTATCCCACTTGAGAAATTTCTGTTATTTGGTTTTCAATATCTCTTCTGATGTCTAATCCGAGAAAATGCGATATTTCCTTCAAATCTTTCATTTGAAATTCATGTGATAGCTTATCCTTGATCCAGCAAATAGCCTTTGCTGATTTCCCAATTATAAGCACATCATCAACATATAAAACAACATAGAGCTTATATTGTGCCATTTTATAAATGCAGCATTCGTTGTTCAAAGGAATAAATCCAAGTTTTCTCATTGTGTTATCAAAACGATCATTCCAACTCCTACCAGATTGTTTCAACCCATATATGGACTTCTGGAGTTTAACGATTCTGGAATTTCCAAATTCGTCTGGTGGAAGTTCCATAAATACTTCCTCTTTTAATTCTCCGTATAAATAGGCCGTTTTAACATCCATTTGATGAATACTTAAATTGTGTTCATTGGCTAATGAAAGCATAACCCTAATGCTATTCATTTTGGCCACTGGTGCAAAAGTATCCTGATAGTCAAGACCTGGTTTCTGCGAACAACCTTTCGCAACCAATCTGGCCTCATGCCGACCATCATCTTTGATTGTAAACACCCATTTTGATTTGATTGGTTTTCGGCTTTCTGGTTTATTTACGGGAATCCATGTTCGATTTTCCTCGAGGGAGTTCATTTCCTGAATTATGGCTTCTTTCCAATGGTTCCAGTCACTTCGCTGCTTTAACTGTTCAATTGTTTGCGGAATATCTAGAAATTGTCCATCTGCTAGAAATGCAGATTCGTAATCCTCAAACCATTTTGGTGGGCGTTGCGTGCGTTCACTTCTTCGTAATTCCTGTTGTTCTTGAATTGGATCAGCTTCAGTAATACTATCCTGTTGTTTTTGAATTGGATCAGCTTCAGTAATACTATCATCATCGCTAGCTGTTACGAAACTTTCATCAATGGTTCCATCTCCATTTTCATCAGTAGTTGCTGTTGGGTTATTGTCAATAAAGGGTGTCCACGATGAAATTGCCACACTATGAAATTGCTCTAACTTTTTAACCGTTGGGTAGAATTTTATGAAAATTTTGGTGGATTTAGTTCATAGTGCATTATTTACATCCTGCAAGTTTTAAAGTCCTGTGATCAAAACTCGCGGAAATGGAGTCGACAGAACAGCTCGTGCGTGATAAAATCTTGCGCATTCATCACGAGAACAAGGATCTCTCGCATCGTTTCATCGCTAAAACGTTGGGAATCGCGAATTCCACGGTGTCGCGAGTGATTAAGCGGTTCGAGGAACGGTTGACCACCGATCGGAAGCCCAGAAGTGAAGGAAAAAGTATTCCGTACAACACCAAAAATCACAACCGCGTAGTTGGGGCCTTCAACCGAAATCCGAACGCCTTCGTTAGGGATGTGGCTAAGAAGCTGCACCTAAGCCGAAGTTTTGTCCAGAAGGCCAAAA